ATTGATAAGAACGATTGATAATATCTGTTGAATTTATTTTATTTTGTTGTATTAAACAACAATAAATGATAATTTACCTCTGAAAATAATAGTTTAGTAATATTTAATAATTTAGATTGAGATTATAGCAGTCAACTGGTGAATAATGAACAAACAACATTATAATAATAATTATAATATTAATAAATATTACGATCGAAGTAAATCTTCATCTCGGCACGGCAGAAATAATGTAACAATGTTAGTGTTTTTTGTTGTTATTTAATTCATTATTATTATATTTAATAATTTCATTTAGTATATAATAAATAATATTTAGTGATGGTGCATTTGAATACAAATGCAGTTGGTGGATATTGCACGTGATTACAGCGATCTGCTTATTTCAGATGGTAGGTAGTACTTTATTATTATTTGTATTTAATTGTAATTAGTGTTTATATATANTAATGTAAATAATATCAGTAATAGATAGTAATAAATATTAGTAGTAAATAGTAATAAATAATAGTAATAAATAGTAATATATATTAGTAGTAAATAGTAATAAATAATAGTAATAAATATCAGGTGATTGGTGCGTTGTCAGTGGGATTTGGTGCGTGGCTATTGCTGAATAGGCAGTTGAGGGGATATATGTGGGAGAGTTCGGCGAGAATCAGAATATTGGTTTGCTATTTTATTTATTATTGTTGTTGTTCTTATTCATTAATATTATTGTTTATTATTAATATATATTTATGTATTGTATTTAACACAATATCAAGTAGTTGAGTAATTAAGATGTTATATAATAATAAAATAATAGTAGACAATATTTATTTTTATAAATCTTGTAAGCAGCTCGGTGCACTGAAAGCTGTTTTTCCGTTGCAACCCATTGAATAAGCAGTAATAATAAAAGTAATAATAGATACTGATACGTGATAAATTATCACTTAATAATAATAATACATAATAATGAATGCATATCAATTAATATATAATTACAATTACAATAATAATAATAATAAATAAAAATTGCAGTCGACAGCGATGTTTGTGTATACGCAATCGACGGTAGTGAA